GAACCCTCACCACCCTCCAGGCCTTCCGCAAAGCCCTTAAAACCTGGCTGTTCCGACAGGCCTGGGGCTAAAGAACCGTGGCCCCCGTCTCGAATGGTATGACTGCTGTGTGTTTTAAACTATGTATTGTTTTGTGTTGTTTTTAATTTTGTCTGTATCCCCCCTTCCTTGGTTGAGTTGTGAGCCGCCCTGAGTCCCCTTCAGGGGAAAAGGGCGGCATATAAATAAAATCAACATTCAACATTCAACATATATCCATCAAACAAATAAATACCAGCTGTCAGATGATGAAGCTACTCTTTCTATCTGGTAACATCCAAATTTGTGGACTTCAGCTCCCAGAATTTCTAAGCCAAAGTGATAGTTACTTAAAATGTTTAAGCTGAAGTACATAATGTTGAAATACAGCTAGGAGTTTTAATGGAAAGGATAAAGAAACAAGGTGTTTCTAATATCAGGAACTAAGCTAGAGGGTATTTTGTTAAATCTCTGAGCTCCTCGATCCCAGTAGAGTAAGATTACACATTTGTTTATTTATTTGTATATAGTTCTTCCTTCTGAAAAAAAATATCAGCTGGTTATTTGCTAACAGAGCAGTTCTCTTTTCATTACACGGAGGGCATACCGAAAATTCCCCTTGTACATTGAAGGAATACTTTGGGGGAGATTTTATATGAAACCCAATAGTATCTTACATTCTTTGATGATATCTTTAATAGCATAAAAACAATATCTACCTACCCCAGGTAGTCTTGATAGGTGGATAAAAATGCCAAATCCTGTTAAACATCTGACTAACTATGCAATGAACCATAACAAAGGCAAATGTTCCAGTGTCCCCTGACTCTAGGGTGCATTGCTCATCTCCATTTCTTAGCTGAAAAAGCCAGCCAGGGGTGGGATGCAGCCGGTTTGGACTGGTTCGAGCAAACTGGTAGCTCTGATGATCAGCTGAGGAGCGAACCAGTTTGCTCCAACAATCAGGTAGGCCCACCCCTGAACTTTACTTACCTATATCCTGTCAGCTGATTTTTGCACCAGAGGGGATTTCTGCACCACAGCTGTGTCACTTTCCAGAAGTAAGGTAGAAGGTAAATTTTGTTAAAACTGTGCATGCGTGCAGAGCACATGTCCTGCATGGGCGCACGCGGAGCACAAAGCACGCGATCACCGAACCAGTTGTTAAACTGGCAGGATTCCACCACTGAAGCCAGCATTGCCCAAAGACATTTGCGTGGTCATGTGGCCACATTTACATTTGCATGCTTTTGAACTGCAAAGGTGGGCAGGAGCTGGCGCAAGTAACAGGAGCTCCCCCCCTCTTTAACCATCACACACCCCCAAACCTTAATAATATCTCTGCAAACAGTGGACTGTCTAGTGAGCTCTTGCAAGACAATACCAATAGTCATAGCCACATCTCGGGTGCAGTTCCAAAACATCTGAGCACCATCTGAACACCCTCAGCATTGACCAAATCACCACCAGTCATTTGCAAAAGGTAGCTTTACTTGGAACAGCTTACCTCCTGCAATGGTATCTTTAACACTGCCAATTCTGGGTCCTTGGGAAGGACTCAATAGGTAGATAAAACATCTGTAGTTTACAACTGGCAAAACTTATTTGATTCAAAATGACCTACCAAAAGGGAAGCACCAGGAAATTATAGTCCAATTATACGCTTGTCTAAAATGTTTGAATTTCCATAGGTATAATAATGGAAAACATCAAAATTGATNTTCTAACCGGTTCGGTAGATTTGACGAACCGGTTCTACCAAATAGGTGAGAACTGGTAGGAATCCACCTCTGCAACAGATGATAGAACTCTTTCATTGTATAACAAAGCCACTGTTTGGGGAGGGAGGTTGCCCAGAGTCACATTGGCTGACCTTGAGGCAGGTGCTGGAAGGAAAATTAAATTGGTACAAAAATCTAAATTGTAAAAATATAACTGAGTAACAACTTCTGGAGCAGCTTTGGAATTGTCCCAAGATTCTGGCAAGGGACTACATCAAGTTTGGGAACTTCAGCTTGTTAGTTCTATTTCAACCCTGATGGACTTTAAAAAAAAAATAAAGTTCAATTTCAACATCAATATCAAAGAGTCAGAGAAAATGTACAGATATACAAAAACGGGCCACAAAATTAACTAAAAACAGACAACCCCATTTTATTAGCAGTTAGTTCACCAGGACATTACATTAGTGACACAGTTTTCTGAACCCAAAATGAGTTCAAGTACAGATTAAAAATACGGGAGAAAGACTTTTAAAAATATTCCCTCCCCTTTCCTCCCTCCCACCATGACAAAATAACCCCTACCCTTCCCAATGGGAAAACATACAGAATCTCATGCAAACATGACAAAAGGAATTCCCAGAGTTCTTCCTTTTAACAAAAAACAAAAACCTCAAACAAAAAACAAAAGTGTCCTTCTTCAAATTCAGATTTTAGTTAAGTCCTCTGTTACCCAGAGAGAGTGGTGTTTTCCAACTATTGCTGACCAACTTACTATGTGAAAAGGCAAATGTTTCCTCCACTCTCTAGTGTACATTAAATCACACCAGCATTTGGGAGCAGTACAAATTAATACTTTCCTTACGCACATTCTAAATTTTAATTCTTTTTTGCATGTCTCGCTTTTGGCAACATTCTACACCATGTAGACTGCTATCTTGAGAAGCTAAACTTTAAATGTTGTACATCATTTTATTACTGTAAGACAGGAACAATCATAATATTCAAATGAGAATGACTTTTTAGGTAGCAGCTACCATTGCTTCTGTGGACTGCCTTAAAACAGCTTCCCGAAGGCCATCATACAGGTAAGTAAGACTGTATTTTCACCTTATCAAATGCTTAAGTTGGTAGTTAGATTCAGGTATCCTGATGCACAAAAGATGCACAGAGAAACTGCACTCAACAACAGGAGTAAAAAGGGGAGGGGTGTAAATCCCTTGTTCTTAAGTTGTAAAGTTTTATTCTATCCCCAAAGGGCAAAGGAAAATATATTGTTTTGCAGATTATAATTTCAGAGTTTTGTTTTTGGTTTCTGCATTGAAGTCTACTCAGAAATCTGAAGTCGTAGCAAAATCAACCCAGTACTGGACAGCCTTTTGAGTGCTCCAAGCCAAAATTTCTCAAAGGAAGCTTACCATTTCTGATGAATCACCCATATCCCAAATGGACCAATACAGTCTTTCCATTACCATACTTCAGCAGTCGCTTTTTTCTTGACTCCCCCCCCCGCCCCCCTATTTTTACAATGGCTTGGAAGGGACAGCCTGCTAACTTTGTGTCTTATTTCATAAGGCTGAAAATGTCAAATGTAAAGATCTTGTGATTCCAAGTCTGTCACTGCATCTTTTCTGCCAATAGCCTCCTTCGACATCCATGTTTTTCAAACGTGGCAGTGTTTAAGATGCGTGGACTTCAACTCCCAGAATTCCCCCAGCCAGCCAAGACCTCTGGATGATTTGCAACAGAAGGGCAAGCTAAATTTGCCAATAGATGCAATTCTGCCTCCTGCCCACCCCCAGTCATATTCATTCTACCATAAATGTCCAACTAATTAGGGGTACTGGGAAGCTTGGAACTCTTTAGCACACTTTGCTTTCAATTAGAGCAAATCTGTTCATACAGAAGGCTGCACGTAAAATACTGTATTAAAAGAGTTGGCAACAAAATGTCATCTTCCCGTGTTTGATCTTACTCAGGCTTGTCTCAAATGTACATTCATTACTGGCATAGCTGCCTAAACAAACATAATGAAGGTGAAGAGGAGTAATTAACTCAGAGAAGAACAATGGTAAGAACTATAAAGAGGGATTGAAAAATCATAATATTAAGATTTAGAGGGATTCGATCTCAGTCTTCCTATATCTCAAAGCACATCACGCAGAGATGTGTTATCTACAATGCAAGACTGCAGGATGCAAAAAAATAGATTAAGACACAGAAAGACAGATTGTGATTATTAGAGGGGGGGGAGCTCCTCCTAATATTCAGGGAAATTTGAATTTCAGTGAAATAAATTATTTTACTGGTTAATTTCAAGTAGAGGTGAGGCAAGGCAGTCAGCTACTGGGCATGTTTCAGTTTAGATTACTGCACTAAAGGGTTATAGAGCTCTTTGCAGCTTTTACTCTTATTTTACTCAAATGTTTACGAGTCTATGGAATTTCATGATCCACTAGATGGTGCTAACACACAGGATCAATGGGAACAAACGTGTTGAAGCTATAGCTAGATTGTGATGGACTTTAGAAGAACTGGAATTGAAGCCACAGACAGTAATAGAAGAATTGCTGACACTGGTGTGAGAATAACGTTTGACCTCTACGGAGTTACTCTGACCCAAAAGAGGCCTGTAAGCTTTTGGCAGCAATTATGGGCAGTCAAGGTCTGAGTTAAGAAGAAACCTTTTCTTGCTTCTGCCTTTTGTCCAAATGTTCATTTATGGAACTAGTGCTAGTATGATTACAGCTTCAATGAAAACCAGGACAATACGTCTGGTCTAGCAAATCGCTTCCAGTATTAGAAACCTTTAGGCAAAACAGGAAGATATTCTGGGAGGGGCGGGGGGAGGGAGAGACATCTATCTCCAAATTGAAAAAGCTTGGAAATCTTTTTAATACCCCACTGTTGCATTTATAGTAAATGTTTCTTCATTAGCAATACTAACAAGTTTTTTTAAAAAAAAAATATTATAGCAACTCTCCAGCTTTGGATCAAACAGTAGTCAGACCAGTCTATATTCCAGTGCCATTAATTCCTCCACTGAGGAATTAAAAAGGCTTTTCAAAAGGCTTTGACTCTTGTCATGACCTCTGTTTTTCCTGTCCCCTCTGGACTGCAAGTTTAACATGCCTTTCCTATGACACATCCAATATGTAGCAGGACAGAACAGAATAAGCCAAATGGGGAGAAATGGGTTCTATTTACCTTGTTAATGTAGCTCCAAACACAGACAGCAAAGATGGGCAAGTGTGTATATGTGTGTGTGCATGCATGAATACACAATACTATTAGCAGCATATTTATAAATTCCATACATACACATATACACACAAAGGAACTTAGTAAACTAGAATAAGTGGGTTATCGGAAAGTCTCAGTCACAGCTCAATAAGACACATTGGACAGGAGGAAGTAATTGAAAAATAGACAGCCACAGGCTTATCCTAAAATGATTCTAACAGAAACAGACATTATGATGACAAATCAAACAAACCCATGGGCCATTTTTCTCTATCCTCTATAATAGCAAAAAGGTGGGAAAATAAGACCCTAATACTTAGGAATACCCACTCTAATATGTATCCCCTATCCCACTCCAAAATGTTCAAAAAGAAAACTACTAAAATACTGTTTGTTCAGTACTCATGAAGATCAATTCTCGTAAGTTGTATTTAGGGTGACCATTAGAGCAAAGTTTACACATGATGCTAGAATGTCATCCTCTTTCAAACAGGCAGGATATGTGCACCAGAAATTAAAAAATAATATTGGATTCAATTATTGAATCTCAAACCACATCTCACATAATTGTATGTTGAAACCAGAGACAGGGCTGTAAGAAGGACACAAATTAAAATATCTCTTTGGAGCAAATTCTCTTGCCAACATTGTCAGATGACTATGTTGCTCACGCTTGGTCATTCCATCCCTTTCCCAATATATTTCTAAATAAGAAGACAGAAAAAATCCATCTGGGATAATCTAAATATTGCCAATACCAAAGTCCTCCAAAGTCTTTCGTATAAAAACAGAGCATCTGCTTTAACTAAGAACTCTGCTCCAGAACACTATCTCAGTCCTATCTCAGTCTGAGCCCAAATTGCATAATTAGGTCCATGCTTGAAGCATGACCTCCCTCTGGCTCCATGTTCATATTACCAATGATGTTCTTCTGCAAACCCATACATGTGCAGGACTATTATTCTTGATCCCTGGCGAATTCTTGGTTCTCTCGTGCCATCTATCCAAAGAGGAGGAGTCATTTTGTTGTAATATTATTCCAGATATTGGAAATAACATGTGAGGAAAACTCAGATCGTTACAAATCTTCTTCACCAAAACCTGGCATTGTGCCAGGAGGAGGCACACCTCAATACTTTCAGTAAAGCTGGGGTCTTCAGCAATCTGGCAGAAATAGATGTAATAGTCCTGGCTTGGCCCTGAGGCACAACTTGTACATCAATTCCAGTAGTTCTTCAGATGGCTGCTTTCTTCCAAGCTTCCAGGTTTAACCATGTTGGCAGTTTCCCATTTTTCCTCAAATATCTTGAATGGATATTGGTCAAAATGCTTCTTCTCTGTTGAATATCTCACATCTTATCACATCCTGTTGGCTTGGAGTAGAGGTTTGAGATCCTCCCCAAGGATCCATTCTACTATTGCTTAATACAAGAGATTTGAAGTGGCTATCTAGTGTTCTGGAGTTCTTCCCGCAGCCAAGTTGGCAGTGTCTGGCCAATTTTATACAGTAGCTTGGATAACTCTATGTTGTGGTCCCTATAATAATCTCTCAAGAATGCTCTGGACTGCATGAGGAAGAAAGAAAAGAACAAAGAAACATAATTAAATGCTATGATTAAATATAAAATGGTGTTAGAGGGACAGAGAACCCTAGAATGCATGAATTATCAAGCCACAGGAGACATCTCTTCCACTAGCTGCCAACCAGGGCTATCCTTACAGGAGCCACGACAGAGTGCAGCAATGGGAACGTCACTGCTCTGGAAGCTGCAGAACACAATATATTAATGCTATCATATCTTTTTCTTTGAAATCAGTGTTGTACTATAATTCAAAAAAAGTTGGTGGCTCTGAAATGGAAGTTACTCTCCAATCGGAAGACTGAGGAAATGCTATATGGCAAGTGAGGGTGTCTACACATCCTACTAGTGGTGGCTGATGTCCAGGCCCTCTGCCTTAAATGTTGCCATCTGATGGGACCTCTTGCTGGCCGCCCCAACCCTTTGGAACAGGCTCCCACCTGGGATCTCATAGATCCCTATCCTATTAGACTTACAGCAGGATATGAAAACCTGGCTCTTCCCACAAGTATAGGATGGGGGTTGAGGTGCAAGAAGAATAGTTTGTTTTTAACCATGTTTCCATTGGTGGTTGTAAACTGTCTAAAGTCACATGAAATAAGCAGCCATTTAAATAAGTAAGTAAGTCCAAGCAGAATCAGGGCAGGCTCCCAATCAAAACAGATTGTTTTCAACTTGGATTTAACTCATAAATTATGAAGGATTGTTTGTCTTTCAACAGAAAATAGCTATAATCTAAAATTGCAAAATGTAAGATGATTCTAAAGCATTATTCTATAGGGGGGAGTCAGGTTTCGGTAGGTAATATAAGAAAAAATCAAAGGCAACATGTTACGTTGATTCAACCTCCCAATATACCTACAAAACTTCAAATTTAGGGTCTATTTACTATAAGCATCATAGAAACAGCATCAGCTGTGCGGAGATCTTACCCTTCAGCAAGGTAAGGATACAAGAACCATTCTAGCAAAACTACCATATTTTTCGAAGTATAAGGGTACCTGTTTCCCTCAAAAAAGAGGCTGAAAATCTGGGTGCGTCTTATTTACTGAATACAGCATTCTTTGCCTCCCAAAACTCCGTCCCCTTCGCCGAATGGCCATGCATAGACTTTTGGAGGCTTTCAGAGAGCTCCTGGGGCCGTTTTTTCCTCAGTTTTGTGCCCCCCAGCCCCAAGGAGCACTGTATAAGCCTCCACAAGGCTATCCATGCCTTTTTTGAAAACAAATGGGCCCGTTTTCATGAAAAATGGGCCTTTTTGCTCATTTTTGCCCCACCCCCCACCCCCCAGGAGCATTCTACAAGCCTCCTAAGGGCTATTCATGGCCTTTTTTAAAAAAAATGGGCCCGTTTTTACGAAAAACGGACTGTTTTGGGGAGATTTGCAGAGTGCAAACTTTTTTTTTTAATTTGCCTCTTCAAAACCTTGG